TTTGAATGGTTGAAATAAAAATTACATATTCAGTTTTATTTTATGTTAAACGTAGGTAAATTTATAATTAATTATCTTTGATATAATCATTTGATTAAAAAAAAAAAAAAAAAAAAAAAAAAAAAAAAAAAAAAGAGCAGTCGATTGTCGATATAAAAATTATACTACGGACTTTCAGGAAAAAAGCAATTTTGTATTTCATGAATTTTATAATTACAAGCAACCATTTGCGTAAATGAAAAAGGCTTTAATTAATTATTGATTTTTTACCAAAATATAAATTTAAATGAACATAAATATTATATGATACGTGTGTTATAAATAAAAAAAACGCCTATACTTTATTTTGGAATATCGAAAGCGCTGCGATTATATTAAATTTCTTACAAATATTTTTTATAATTATCGTAATGTTATTTAAAAGTACTTGTAATTTTACATTGACCTTTCATCCTACTACGAGCATAAATGGAAATTATAAATTCTAAGGCGATGTAAAAAAAATCAGAGTTTTTTCATCAGATTTGCCTTTAATCGAGCGTACGCACCTCAATTTCATAAAAACTTATATCATCCCGCGTTGCGTATCCTCGATCAATGCTCTCAAAACAGACAGACAGCTATCGTCTATCGCACACATTAATATCTAATAAATTATTCAGTATTACTAATATTGGCAGGTCTTTTGAAGAAAATGATATTTTTAATTCTTCTATTATATACAAAATCAACTCAACTGGCTTGGTGCTCGAAATCCAATAGTCTGCTCGACATTATCCACTGACTAGCCTCCTGTCCTTTATAAAGAAAAAAAAATATATATTGCGCTCCACGCATTTTCCATGCGACTTTTGAGATAATGCAACGCGAACGCGTGCAACGCTGATGCGAGAAACGAGTCTACGGCCGAAAAAGTACCATCGGATCCTCTCAGCCGCGTCGCCTAGTCCTGAGCTTAAGGACAAGAAGCGACTAAGACGGCGGTAAAAAGGGGCGAGAGAACGGGGATTGAAACGTTCTCGTTCACCAGCCGAGCGATAAATAAAATATGAGGCTCGCACGGCGTATTGCCCTCGCGAAACTTTTTCACCCGACGTTCGCGCATAATAACGATTGCCCTCGCGGTAAAATCCAGTGGAAATGTTTAGAGCCCTCGGGAAGCACTAAATCGCGGGCGGGATGCGCGTGGCGCGTCCGGGCGGCACTCGACCGGTCGCCCGTAGATGGCCGCACCTGTGCGATCTTAATCCGAGCGGCAAAAAACATCGCCACGGACCCTTCTACTGACCGTGCTGGCAAAAAAGGCCGATGGGTGGGGCCGCGGTAGCGGGGGCGGGGCGGCGGTTAGCCCCTACGGAGGGGGCTTAGAGGTAGAATCCGTCTAAGGAGAGCGTCGAGACACTTTGAATAATTCATCGGCCGGCCATACTTCGCTCAGCGCGACTCCTTTTTGTACCCTCGCGCTCCAAGTAGCCAGGGTCCCTCGCTTGTGGCTCTGCCCCGAGAAATCGAGCGGCCAAGTGAGCAATTAACGCCGTAGCCTCGCCAGCGTGTAATTCCCGATTATCAGGAAAATCACGATCTCGGGTAGCGCGGACCGCTGCTAATTAGCGTGAAGTGCTTTAGTGACAGTGGCGCTGGGCTCGTAAGCGGCCCTCGCCACGGGGATGGGAATTGACAAAGTCAGGAGCGTTTGCTGTAGCAGGCGCCGCTCGAGTTTGCCTTCAATCTCGCTTCGGGCGTGTCAATCAAGCCGCCCATCATATATTATTTTCTCCGTGCTTCGATGCTTATAAGCGAGCCAAGTTAGAGAAGAGCGGAGATATTTGGCGATGGATTTGCCAATTGATGCGGTTATATTTGCTTACATATGTTGGGGTGGGCGTTCTTGCCATGAGAATGCAAAATATTAATCGCTTGGAATTGCTGGAATTTTTCATTACGAGGCAAGTGCGTTAAAATTAATCGTCGATTGTCATGAATCTAAATTCGATTCATGATATTTTAATCTCGCTGATGGTCGTATATTGTTATTCGTAATGGTCGGTGTACGTAACTTGAACATTGCATTAAACAAATTCACTGGTGGCTAATGTACGTTTGCAGACGTATCGAATGATTTAAAATTGCGCGCACGAGGAAACGATAGTGGCCAATGCTTGATGAGGTTATTGGTTCAGTGGTTTACTGATTTGTCGCAAAAAGCTTTTCTTTCGTTTGTTTCTTTACGTCGATCGATAGTTAGGATTCCTGCGTTAAAATAATGGACAGTCCGATATTTCTGTTGACAAAACGTATAATGCTTCAGTACAAAATTAGTCAACGTAATTATACAGAAGCCAATTAATCTAATGATTCAATTAATTCAATTTTTGTTTTCTCGGTTATTTATAAATATCCTAAATGGATTAAAGGCTCAAATAATTAGCTATTAGGTATTTTTACACGTAAAAGAATGTACATTTTCCTGCAATAATTCTTCATAATCTTTCCATGCACACTTTCTCAATATTTGATTCATTTTTCACGCGGATACACGTTAACTCATTCTTACTTGAAGTATATTTCAATTAACAAACATTTCAAATATTTTATTTTTTTCCATGATCTTTTTTATAACTTATCCCTGTGAAATAATTTGAGAACGAAAAGAAAAAGAAAGACGAAAAAAAAAATATTATTTTACGCTTTTCATATACGCGATTAAGTGTGCTGCATGAAACGTAAGGAAAGCAGCTTTGGTTGTTTTTGTTTTTTTGAAAATACATTTTTCCCATACGGAATAACTTCATAAAGTAAATATTTACAGTAGAAATAGTAAATATATACATTAAAATATTTTCTTACAATCACTGATCTATTATGCTACTTTTGATGAATTATTGTTTTACCGTTAAAAATTACTTTTAATTTTCGTCAATGTGTTTCCGAATGGCAACTTCAATTATTAATTGTATCGACAGCTATATTCTTATCAATGACGAATTATTTATCATACACTCAAGGTTTATCACAGTGTAAAGTTAAAAATAATTTTATTTCACGTATGGCTCGTCAAATTTTCAATGAAGTTTGTTATTAATCATCGATTGAAAAATTGAAAAATTGATATATAAATATGTTAATATGAGTGGAGTAAGATGTATTCGATTACTGTAGATGTGTCAATTTCCTCAATATTATGAGTATTTGTTTTTTAAAAGTGTGCCTCTTGAATGCGCACAATAAAAATTTTTTCAAACAAATTTTAGATAATTTTGAAAATTAATAAACTCAAAGTGAATAAGAGATACTATATAATATTTATATTCAAATAAAATTAATAGTCGCGAAAAGAAATTATAATGACGATTCAATGAGATATTGAGAAACTGGCAAAGTCCTGACAAAGTAATATGGCCCTGAAGTTGTCTAAACAAATCAATAATTCATACGAGAAAACTTATTACTCTCGCATTCAAATATTATAAATTCCGAATGGACAATGTAAATATTATCCGTGTGCCATCCCCCGTAGCCGGAACATGTAATTTTATTGGTATTTTAATAAATCGTATGGTGTTGTGAAAAGGCTGAGTATCTTAATACTCCCTTGACCCTTCAATATAAAGTTCATCAGAGATTCTCCAAGCGGTATCTTATCTAATAAAAAAAATCAAATAATCTCAAAAGCCTTCCTACAAACGGACAAAAAACAATTTGTGCGCACAGGCGTATTGGCTGAGCGTAACACACATAAACAAACAGTTAAACAGGCACGCGAAGCAGGCAAGAAGGAAGCGGGAAAAAGTAAGAGAGATGCAACGCCGCAGGTTAGCGTCCGGCACGTGCGCGTCGCGTTCGCTAAAAAGCAATAAAGTCAGCCGCTGACGGGAAGTCAGGCCGTGTAATGACAGTATGACGATATCTATATGGGATCATAATAAAGCCCGAGGCCTGAGTGGCGGCGGCATGAAAAAGAAACTTGGATATCATACGAGATAACCGTTGTCACGTGAACATTTGATCCCCTTGGTAATCCCGTATGCGTGTGTGTTTGCAACTCGCCAACTCTTCTTTTACATCTCTCTCTCTCTCTCCCTCTCACTCGTACACCCGGACACGCACGCACACAATATATACACGCGTTCTCTCACTCCTATACTCATTCGTCAACTCACTCGCTCGCCCAGTGTTTTTCTTTCTCCTTCTCTTTTCCATTTAATCCCAACAATTCTTTTAAACGAGATTAGAATTAATAATAAACTCCGTCATATGAACTCTAGTAATCGTATTGTCGAGAAAGACATCTCTATTGCCATAAATACTACCTCTTTAATTTATGCATATTCGTTTCTTACATTTTTGCTTTATTATAAATGTATTTGCTTTACGTCATAGTTTATTTTATGTATTACAGAGTTGTCCTTTAGTTCGTAAAAAAAAAAAAAAAAAAAAAAAAAAAAAAAAAAAAAAAAAAAAAAAAATATTCCTTTATCATTGTTGTTAAAATAATGGGAAAGGTTAGTGAAGTCGCAGTCCGTGATTAGTAACTTAAGAGGTAAAATAATATGTTATTCGATTTTTTTTACCGAGCTTACATCAATTTATTCGTAAAATCAACGTTTGATTTTTATATTCCCAATGCATCTGCTTGCCATATTTGGTTTTTTTTTAAAAAAGCTTCCATTAAGAAAACATTTTATTTATTTTACAGCTTTGCTAAATTTAGTCACTTATCAGAGCGCCGCCGCTTGTCAAGCAAATTTTTTTGAAATTTTCATTAACGTAGATAATTTAGTTGGAAGCATGAGACTTGCGACTTGCGACTTGCGACTTCGCCCACTTATCCCTAGTACGTACCATAATTAGTTATATCTTTAAGAAAATGATGAATAAAGCAGGAGAAACAAAGAAACGAACGAACAAAAAATCAAACAAAAAATCAAACAAAAAGAAACCCAGAAATATGTAATAAAGGTGACGATGACTGATAAGCTGTGTTATGTGGGTGATTTTAGTGGGGAATGTGTTCGGGGGCCGATGCGGCGCGGAGGCGTTGGGTCTTGGGCTGATGTCGCTTAACCCGGCCTACAGGTTCGCTCTGCCCCCGGGGCTCGCTGCCAAGACCACCCGCTGCCTTGTATTCGACCAAGGTAGGCTACCAGCCATCTTCATTATCGTCGCAGTCCACGGCGCTTACTCTTTGCTTCTCTCCTTTTTTTTTCAATCATAATCTGCTCTTAAGCTGTAATGTGCATTAATTGTAGCAAAACAATTGCCCAATGAACGTCGCCGCTTCTTCCTACGCACCCGCTCACTTTCTCAAAATGTACACACGCACACAAGCCCACGCCTAATGTCTATCTTATTGCTCGCTGTCCCCGCGCGTATGTACGTAAAAGCCAATTAACCCTATAACTCAACGCTACATCATGCTAACCCGCCCTATCCTGCTCATTGACTACGTGTATCACTTTCTCTCTCTCTCTCTCTCTCTCTTTCTCTCACACACACACACTCGCTCACACACACGCGCGCGCGCGCACACACACGCACACACAATCTTCCTTCGTTCCCCCCTTCCGCCACCCAAACAATCTCAACAACCGTCGCTCTAGTTATTTCTCGCCTTACCTCACTCCTACCTCCCGCATTTAATTTCCGCCAACCAATGGAACCTTTACAAAGCGTACATTAACAATTTTTCTTATATCTAACGCATAGCATGCAACATTAGTTTTATTTAATTATAGTTTAATCCAATATGAATAGTTGTATCTAGTTTTTATCAATATTAACGATTCAATTATAACAACGACACATTTTTTATTTTATCGATAAATAAATACTCTTATCTGATGCTACATCTCATTTTATGTATCTTCAATGTACTCGTGAATCATCATACAATACTGATTGTATTTAGTAATACTACCGTTTTCATGGGAGTACATAGCTTTACACTATGTTATTAAAAAGTTGTTAAAATCAAAATTCATGTTGCACTTTAAATTAAATATAATTTCAAAAGAATTAAAAATTTACTAAATGTATTATGATTATGATTCGCTTTTACGATTCGTTATCCTATGATTATAAAAATTAGTTTTCAATGTCCGACAGCTGTCGATCTAGATGCATATACATTATGTATGTTTTTAAATTTTGTCTTTAATAATGAAATTTTTCAATATCGCGTTTGTAACTAAGGGATTTTTACAATAAATATATAATCATAATTCACATAATTATTTTACTAAACTAAACGAGCATTTTTATCATTAATTTTACAAGATATTTCACGCACAATGAATTTTAATCCGTCGATATAATACTAAAGATGCAGCTTTTAGTTAATTATGTAAGAAATCAATGTTATGGACAATTTTTCTCATTAGAATGAAATTTAATATAATGAATGTAGAAATTATCATCGATGTATAAATAAATTATCTTTAAATTACAAATATTCTATAGTTAAACTTTAAAATAATGTAAATAGTATGTTTGTATAACCATACTTTATTAAAACGACCATTAGAAAAACATATTTTGTAATTTTCTATAAAAGAAAATTTGTAAAAATGTAAATTAAAATTTTAACTTCTTTCTGTAATAAAATGAAATTACCATCCAATTCCCAGTATTTTTTTTTTATTTTACAACCGATATATACTAACATTAAAATACTAGCTTTTATATCCAACTTTGTGTTCGAATGTTTACAAATGTTTTCGATGATTAATTTAATTGAAAAGTTTTGCCATACAGTATTTAAAAGAAGTTAAATCTAATTTTTAAAAAATAAATCTTTTTATGTTATAAAAAAAAAAACAAAAACAAAAACAAAAATGAGAAAATTTTCTAAAGTAATTTAAAAAGTTATAGAAAAATTGATTACCGTTTAATCGATAATTTCATAGAAATTTACGTTCTCAAATAAATTGTTTCAACATGAATTTAATAAACGATAATTTAACATCAGTGAAGAAAAAAATCAATATTTCAACAGAATTATGCAACTAAGCATTAATAAAAACTAATGAATGAATTGATTATAATTCTTTAAAAATAATATCGCGTAATAATGGCGGAGTAAATGATTATTAGCTAAAGTGTTAATAAGATTATCAATGTTAAATTGACAATTTTAAAGATGATGTCTGCGAAGTGTTTGTTAAATTGTATAAAATAGTTTGATAAATGAGCATTGGCAGATTGAGAGTACGGTTATAATGAATAAAGTGTATTTGAAAATTTTAATATTACTTGTTACTGAATGTTGACATGAACGATTTGATTTAAATAACTACAAAGTTCATTAATCTTTCATAATAGTACATCTAGTAAGTTGAAAATTTCAAAGATGGAATATAACATGAACATTAACAGAAAAAACATCACTTATTATCTATAAGAATATATATAGTGAATGGTATTATAAAGCTTGGCTACATATTATTTTTAATAAACCCTTAAATTTCATGTCACAAGTCATTACGTGGCTTTAAGCATCCCACGTATCAAATTCATGACCTACTCGACAAAAATTAAACTTAAAAAAACGATGTTATTAAATAAAATTTTTCATGTTTCTACCTTAAAAACGAGCATTAAAATGCTTACTCTTTTATTATGGCACTCTTTGACAGTAATAATTCTTGTGTTGAGAGAGGTAGAGGGAGGTAGAGGGAGGTAGAGAGAGAGAGAGAGAGAGAGAGAGAGAGAGAGAGAGAGAGAGTGAGTGAGATACGTGTGCGTGTGTGTTACAAGCATGCAATAAAGCGCACATATGGCACCAAAAACAGATTCAATTTGACTGCATTTACAGCAGCACTCAACATTTTTTTCCATTTTAACAGCTCTTTCCAAAGAAATCTTTGTTACTTTGTAACTTATCGTTCCGCAGTCACGTTGACTTTTCAAGCCGCTTCCCGAATCAGCAGCACGCACACTTCGAACGAGGATTTTCTCTATGATCGCAGAATAAGCACGTGCACATGTTCTATCGCACACGCACACGCACACGCACACGCACACGCACACGCACAGACGGGGAATAAAATGAAGGCATCCGCGGATGTGTTTAGGCATGCGCGTGGGATGCGTAGGGTCGGGAGTATTGGCCGACTCTATGACAGTCGTCGAAAACATATTTCAATATCCGCTCCACTTTGTTCCGGCCCGGACGAATGTGCGATTCCAATGCTCATGGCGCGCGGTCTGCGTTCAACGGCCTCGCACTCTTCCGGCTTTTTTGAAACTCCGAACGGGAATTCGAACGGCGGCGGGTGGGTCGGCTCCGGCGGGCGAAGGCATCAGCGGCAACGGCAATCGCGTATTTATATAGTCGCACTGCGGATTCGGACAAAAGAACCTGCGGATTATTCGACTACCTCCACTCTTTATTCGCCCTTCTATCCTCACGCCCCCTTGACTCGATCCTTTTCTCTCGTGCTCGCGCGCTCTTTTTCTCCGCGACCGCTTTTTACGAAATTATTTTAATCCTCGCGAATACACCATCGGGAGACGCGAGTATGTCTTACGCTCTACGGACCAGTTTAATTTTGACGCTTTTTAGCGATGAACATTTATTGGTTTGGAAATCGGATTTCATTCGATAGCTAAAAGTATTAGTTTCTCTTTACGTTTTTGCCAGTTTAATGAACATAAAAATTTATGCAAACGACTCGATCGATTCTGCATTTAAGCATTTCTCAAAGGTATTACTAATATTTCTCACAACAAAAAATTACGAATAATTTATAACTTTATCTGTCAATGACCCTCATATAGAGGTTTTTTTCTTCAATTCGTCATGTTTTTCAAAAATGTAATATTGTTTTATTTATTCTAATGCTTTAATTTATTGGATGCGTGCCTAATTGGTTAACGGTATTCGTACAAATACATAAACGTAATTGTCACAAGTAACGAGGCTTTGAGTCACTGAAAGATACAAAAATTTATTTTTGTGATTTAATAAAACTAAATGCTGATTTATGCTTTACCTTAACTTTAAAAAAAAAAAAAAAAAAAATAAAATTCTAAATAAAATGTTAAAATATACATATGGCTGCGCGCGCATTTGTGTTCATGCGTCCATGTAAAATTTATTTTAATTACATAAAGCTTATTTTTTCATTTTACTTTATTTTTTTTTTTTTACTCTTTTTAATAACAAAATTAATTGTCCTTTAACCCACGGACACTTATGGCATTTGGTAAATTATTACGACAGTATTGCAAAAAATTACACAATTTATTAAATTGAGTTAAAAAAAATTCACCCTACTGTCATTGTAATTTTTTCGAAATGCCATTGATATCCTTGGATTACAATGTGCTGCATAATAATTTTAAAAAAAATCCGCATACAGCTGCTTTTATCTTTTACATAAATGCCTTCAAGTTCGATTCAAATGTATTACGAATATATTGAATTATTATTTTTGGGCTTAAACACACAAGATATTATAAGGATGAACACACACGTTTTCTTCGGAATTGATGTAATTTTCTATTAATAGAAGATACACCAACTAATTAAAAAAAATTGAATTAATTTCCGAATTAAAAAATAATTATATAATTTTAATAAATCTTTACTCTACGATATTCTACGACCTAACAATATACTCGATAGTGAAAAAAAAAACGACATCGTTATAATAATTTCATAATTTACCAAATCCTCTAATAGCGATTATTAAAGTTATTGATAAAATCGTGTCAGGAGAACTCAATATTTCTACCTTTACACATAAAGCAATAAATACTGATTTTTCTATTATGTCACAGTAAATGTATTTAAAGTTTTCCATTATGAATTTAATAAAAGTTGCTTTGACCGACTCAATAGCTTCGCACATGCATAATGCCCATATCCATGAATGTAATATCTATTGCAAAACTAGCATTGAGCTTGTTGTATTTTATCATAAAGAGTAAATTTTAATTTTCCATGTATCGCTATAACTTATACAGGACTCGACTAATTTTTCACAATAATCTAGAATCTTCGAATAATAGATGCGCATTAAAAGCGATCACATCGTCCTCGTAGACGTCAAAACATAAAATATTACGATGCAAATGGTCGACTAGCCGAGGATGATAGGTCAACGTTGTTCGGGATGGTAATGGCTGCGCG